AAACTTTGAGCGCGTTGCGCGACCCCTAAAAATGCTCCAAAAAAATCGAAAAAATGCGGAAAATTTTTATTTTGGGCCGAACTTTAAGATCCCGTGCGGCGCTCCTCGATTTTGAAACTTTTTTTTTCGCGTGGGCCACCCTAAGCCTGTTACTCCAGTGCCGTTGAAAAGTTTTTTCTGTCTGTCTGTCTGTCTGTCTGTCTGACTGTGTACACTACTCCTCCTGAACGGCTCGGCCGATCTGGCTGAGATTTTGCAGGCTTATTAGGTATGTTCTTGGCTCGGCACACGCGAAATTTCATTATCCTAGCTCACGTGGTTCAGTTTTTATAGCCGAAAAACACCTAAAAAACGGCGAAAAATCGAGTTTTCTGTAAGCAGATCACTTCTGTCTTGAAGGAAGGGGGGTCTGGGGGCGGAGCCCCCCAGCCTCGTGAAGTTAAAAAGTTACAAGGGTCAAGATCGTGATATCTGTTGATGAAGCAACTCTATCTAGAATGAAGGGGGGTCTGATGGGCGGAGCCCCCTTGTATGCAACAAGTAAGAGACGATGGACAAGCCAATGCCTGCCGAAGGCAGGCTAGCGCCGCAGGCCAAGGTAGGTACGCCAGGCGCGGACTGGAGAAACAGGCCGCGAGACATCGCGAAGCCTGTTACGACAAGACGCGGTCTGACGTAAACCTACCTTGTATCTTGAAAAGGGTGGCCACCAGAGTGAACACTATACACCTATTGTAATGAGTTAACGAAAAGCTGAAAATGTGTCATGTTTGGCGCTCCGCTGTGGCTCGCTCGGGTCATATCGAGGGGTCCTATTCAAAAGATCTTATCTGGGCGTTCCCCCCAAGACAATCTTATCTTAAACGCCGGCAAATTTCACTCATTTTGAACAATCAGAATAAATACGACGGTAAGCGAAACATATTTCTACATGCACTTTTGGTTTCTTTGATCTTCCATCTTTAGATTTACTTGAACAAACTCACAAATTATATTGATATGTAGCTGTACCAAATGATCAAACTATGTGAAATTCACGTGCGTTTAAGATAAGATTGTCTTGGGGGGAACGCCCAGATAAGATCTTTTGAATAGGACCCCTCGATATATTGTAAAACTCATTAAGTGTCACGCATAGCCAGGGCCTTTCCGATAAACATCTAAGAGTTTGTTGGACCCTGCCGTTCAATTTTCAAAATGCCACTTCTCGCCGCTTTTTACGCGTTTCGTCCCACTGTGCGGCCGTCCGGGGCCTTTCGGGTTAAGCCAAATGCAACAAAATTTCAGGGGGCATTCCTCCAGTGTCCAAGAAGACGTCTCAGTGAAGAAACGCGGTGCCGGACGACTGCAACCCCTGCGGTAGGGGTGTTCACCCCCTTGCTCCCCTGCACGCCCTTGGAGGGTTTGGAAGCCCTCCGACGAGCGGGTTGGTCGAACAAGACATGGGGAAAGCGATCCTGAAATTTTCAAGACGATCCCACCAACCGTTCGTCTTCCAGAGCGAAAAAAGCGTCATTTCCAGTAAAAACTACCCCTCACTTCACCCCCTTCCAGCGACTCACTGAGTGGGGGTAGCAGTCCCAAACAACGTCACATCACTCGGCCCAGACCTCATTTCAAAGGCCTCCAAGTTTCGGACTGATGCGACAAAGCATGGGACCGTTAGAGCGACGCAACGATGTGCCTGCACTCGGCTGCAATGGATGCGCCGGGCCGACGGGTCCATGCGCCGTGCAGGTAGGCAAGCCAACTCATCTGGCGCCAAGATGATTAAAAGCCATTTTGAAGCCTGATTTTGGCTGGTTAGCCACTGTGGCGCGTTGGGAGACATGCCCTGCATACAGTGCTGAAGCTAAGTGACGCGCGGGCCAAAATCAGGCTTCTAAGTGGCTTTTAATCATCTTGGCGCTAGATGAGAGTTGACTTGCCTACCTGCACGGTGCATGGACCCGTCGGCCCGGCGCGTCCGTTGCCGCCGAGTGCATAGGGATGTAAAGGCCGGTAATATTACCGGTAAAGAACGGTATAATACGGTAAAATACCGTATTTTACGGAGACCCCGGTAAAATTGGTATTTTTCGGTAATTTTGAAATATTGACTTATTTGAACTTCTTTAGCTTCCATACGATTATACACGGCGTACGGACTGAAAATAGCGCTTCTTTTGAACTCTTGGTTTGTATCTGTCCCTTGTGCCGCCCCGTGTACGCGTAAGACGTCTAGCCACTTAAAATTAGCGTAAAGTTAATGTTCTCTTCTTTTGCTAAACTTGTGGAAATCAAAATCCATTTACACGAGACAAATCTCCGAATGGCAAATCAAAAACCTTTCTTTGTTGCCAAGGTTCATATAATTTTAACTAACTTAAAATTAAAAAGAGGGGTAGATATTTGTTAGACATTTGAGCTGAAAAATGTAATGAACATTGGTATGGTTGTTGGACACCTTGGAGCCTTCAAGGAAAAAAGTTTCTTCATATAATTGAGACAACTTACTTGGATAACGAGAAAAACGGCGCCCGTTTTGTTAACACTTTTGGGCTGTTAACTTTGCCGCTCTAAGCATTTCTTAATCCAGCCCAGTAGGAAGCAGTCAGATTCAAAATTGATTAGGAGGTTCTAGTGGGAGAGTACATAGTTCATATTTTTTACCCACGGGGTCTTTCGTCCTTGTCTATTTCAAATGCGACATTGTCCTTGAGTCATGATGGTTTGCAACCATGTTTGGAACGATGCGGCCGATAATTAATGATACACCCTTACCCAAACGAACCTCTTTTCCCCCTATTTCACAAGAAGAACCACAATTACCCCTTTAAGTCAAGAAAAATCAATTTTACCCAATTTACCGTATAATACGGTAAAATACCGTATTTTACCGTAATTTACGTAACAATGAATCTTACCGGTATTTTTGCATCCCTACGAGTGCAGGCACATCGTTGCGTCGCTCCCACGGTCCCATGCTTTGTCGCATCAGTCTGAAACTTGGAGGCCTTTGAAATGAGGTCTGGGCCGAGTGATGTGACGTTGGTTGATACTGCTACCCTCACTCAGTCAGTCGCTGGAAGAGGGTGAAGTGAGGGGTGGTTTTTGGCCCGCCCTTCTATTCAAAAACTAAGGGGAGGGCCTATGCATTTGCCTTTGCGTCTGTGTGTTGTTGTTGTTGTTGGCGTCTGTGTACAAGGAAGGAGTTGAGCTAGAGTAACCAGATTTGGAGGGTACTTCAAAAGTACCGCCCTAACAAATAATCCGGTGGTGCAAATCCCGTCCGGGTCGCACAAGGGCTGCTGCAGGTGCATCATGGTTTACATGAGCGGGAGGGGGATTTCCGCCATTATTGGTGCTAGCAGGGCACATAGGGGTATTTTTGGAATCGGGGCGACGAGACAAGATGAATGGACCTGGTCCCGACCCCATCGGCCGCTTTTACAAGTTGGCCAGATCAGGATCTTCAAAAAAGGGGGTCGACCGACTAAAAGAATTTATTGCAGATTTCGATTGGTCTCAGCAAGACCTTTTCAACGAGGGGTCGGAAAGGGGGTCCAGGAGCCCGACTTCGTCTATTAGTCACATCAGGATCTTGAAAAAAGGGGGTTGACCGACTGAAATTTTTTACTTAAGTTTTGGATAGGTCTTGGCAAGACCTCTTCAACGAGGGGTCGGAAGGGGGGTCCAGGGCGCCCGCCTTTATGAGTTATGAGAAAAAGTGTGACGGACTCGTTTTGCGCTCCTGCTGTGCCTCTATTGCAAGGAGTTGCAGTAGCATGGCAAATATGGGTATTTTCGGAATGAGAGCTAAGAGACAAATGAAATGGGCATATTCTAAGGACAGTTGGAGTAAAAAGTGTAAGGACTTTTGCATATTGTGAATAGAAAGGCGGGCCTAAGTCACGATGGTACATCGATAACTTTGCTTTACCCGCTCACGGTGTGTGTGATGCGAGCGGGCCGAAGGCCCGGGCCTTCGACTGGCCAAGTTGGGTCTGATGCGAGGGCCGAAGGCCCGAGAAAAAGGCTGCCGGCAGGCCAAGCTGGGCCGGCCCCCTGTCGAACCGAGTTGCCGGCGCAGCGAACCGGAGCTGGCGACTCGGTTCGACGGAAGGGCGGGCTCTAGCTTGTTATTACTGGAAGTGACGCTTTCTTCGCTCTGGAAGACGAACGGTTGGTGAGATCGTCTTGAAAACATCTGGATCGCTTCCCCCATGTCTTGTTCGACCAGCCCGCTCGTCGGAGGGCTTCCAACCCCTCCAAGGGCGTGCAGGGGTGCAAGGGGGTGAACACCCCTACCGCAGGGGTTGCAGTCGTCCCGCACCGTTTTTCTTCCCTGAGACGTCTACTTGGACACTGGAGGAATGCCCCCTGGAGTTTTGTTGTACTTTGCTCAAACCGAAAGGCCCCGGACGGCCGGTATTCGAAAGGGGGTGAGGCTTTCCGGGAGATGATTCACCCGGGGTTGGTTGGAACCTCAAAATAACGTGGCTGCTTGGTACGGGGGGCGCCCCGACGCTGTTTTGGGCGAAATTCGAACACGCCAGAAATCCACCCCCTCGAGGGGGTGGGGGTGAGTGCAGCGGGGGTGGGTTGGTTAAAATTGAATTGCGCTTGCATCGTTGGAAAGAGGAGACGCATTTGACCTCGTACGCCAAAACTTTTGACTCTGTGATAAGGTAAAGTTGATTTTTACGGCACGTTTTCATCGTTTTTTTCACCCTTGCGCACATAGGGGTGGGTGCCGTCCGTTTGGGGAGGCGCACGGGCCAGGCGCTTCGCAGGCTTAGAGGGGAGTAGTGGGGGCACCCTCGTACAAAATTTCAGCTTCCCAGCTTGAAAGACTTAAAAATATTACGACGACTAAAAGTGTGCCGCTATTTTTTGTCGGGAGTGTAGTAAGCTTCAACCTTTAGGTTTTATTCTTTAAAAAGTCAACCATGTGCACCTTTAAAATCGCGTCGTAAGCTTATCCCCTCTTATTTTTCTAATGCAACCGATTGGTCCAGGTGAGGCGCTGAAGATGGCCAGTGGGCCCTGGATGTCCGAGAGTGCGTATGGCAGCGCCTGGCTGGAGAGCTCTCCTCCACAGCGACGCATGTTGCTGTTGTCCATGGCGCGCTGCAGCCGGCCCATGGCTGTCCCCGTCAAGGCGTTCGGCGCGCTGGACCGGGAGGCGTTCATCTCCGTGCTCAAGGCGTGGTTCAGCTATCTGCAGACCCTTTCCAACCTGAGCGCGACGTAGCATTCGGGGCATCGAACCGGTTTGGGCAGTAGGAATAATCTGAATCCGAGGACGAAGATGTGACCTGACACTCTCATACTTTGATTGCCTTTTTATCAATATTCATTAACGTTTTCGCTCATGAATAAAATTTCGCTGGGAAGCTGAACACAGTTGTAAAGACGAAAATGGATTCTGATGTTAACGAAACAAGGGGCGTGAGGTATGGCAGTATTTTTCTGTATCACTCATCTGTTGCCGAGAGAAAACCACAAATGCCACAGTGCCCACAAATCTTGGTAAAGGGGAGGAGTCGAGGGGTCCTTTTCAAAAGATCTTATCTGGGCGTCCCCTAAAAGAGAATCGTATCCCAACACATTCGCTGCGATACGAGAACATGCAACCTGGTATCGGGCGGGCAAAAACTGCGGTACCCGCTATCGATGTGTTTGCGCTACTACTCTGACTCTTACCGAAGCACAGGTGTTCTAGTTGGCTGACAGACGTGTTCGCACACGTTTGATTACATTTGGACACATTCAGACGTCCGAACACGTTTGAACACGTCCGAACAGGTGTGGATACGTTCGTACAAGACATTTGTACTCACGAAGCAACATTAATTAGATGCGGACAGGCGCTGAAGCTAATACCATAACCGTCAAAAATCAATTGTTTTTAGAAATGCTTATATTTTCAAAAATCGATGCAAAAAAAATAACAGGAAAAGTAGCGATATACATCGGCAACTTTTGCCCGTCCCGTACATTGAGAAACGTACGAATTTCGCCTATGTTTGACCCTGACGGGAATTAAACCTGAGTCTGGGGTTAAAATAAATGTCGTTTTCGTCATCAGCACCCTCAAAAACATCAGAAACAATGCAAAAACTCGAATAAAAAGAATGTTAAAAAAAACGCCGCTGGGATTTGAACCCGGGTCCGAACTTCTCCGATTCGCTCGAAACTGGCACCATTGGTTTTTTCTCTTCGCCCCGATTCCAAAAATACCCCTACATACCCTCCTAGCTGCATCCGTTGCCGAGATCCTCCTCGACCCCAGGGTCACCCAAGGAGGCTGCATACCAAATTTGGTCAAGATCGGACCACGGGAAGTCCTCGGACGGACGAACGGACGAACGGACGGACGCACAGCAGGGATCATACTATATGCCCGTCCCTCCGTCAATTTTTTTACAAAAAATAAACGGGACGGGCCAAAAATTGCGGCTGAGTGCGGTTTAACGGACGGTTGCCCGTAGTAGCTACAGCATCCACCTACCAATCGCAGTAGAAATGGTCGGGGGGTAAAGGGGGGTAACATAACTTTTCCTCCAATGTCGAATTTGGGCATTTTGGGCAATACTTTGCTTGAAAGTGTTGTCTGTAGAACCCTTAGACGGACGAAGTTCGGGTCTGGTTCACTCACAGCACTTTTCTATACAAGATCAATAGGGGACTTCGGAGGAAATCCAGACCGGAAGTCAGCGACAGAACGGGAGAAACAAAGGAGCGTCGCGAGGCCGTGCTGGTCGGTGGAAAGGCCGGGATGGGCAGAGTGGGGGCAGCATGCGCGCGCCGCCTTCACCCCCACTCCGCCGATTTCGACCCCCTCCACCGCTCAGCACAGCCGCGCGATAGGCGATGCCACCGTACCAGTCCCCCCAACCCGCACGAGGTGGTGACTGTCATGGCGGCAAGCGGCAGGCGACTGCAGGCAGCGTGAGGTGGTGAGTGGAGGGGAGAGTACGATGGGCGCGCCTATGCTCTCTTGTTTGTCCCGTTCTGACACTGACTTCCGGTCTAGGTCTTCTCCGAAATGCCCTATTTAAGTTCCATACTGGGATGCACACTCTCAGTCTCGTACTGACTTTTTTGTTGTCAATAGACCTACTAACAAATTGATAAGTCAATAGTTATTGACAAATTTGTCAATAAGCTAGAATCCTCTATTGACAAAAAGTTCCCGCACTGGTTTGTCAATAAAATAATGTTAACAAATAGTTAAGGACCGCTTAAGCGGGCCCAAGGATTACATTTTTTAAAACGTAACCAAAAACCTATACAAACTTTGGAACGGTTTTAATTTAGGTTTTCCTTGGGCTACATGGACGATCGTAGGTTAAAGTAAAGAGGATTTTTTCATCCTCAAGATGCCGCAAAACGATTGCCAAAAAGTTTAGAACTTCCGGAGAAAAATGTCGCGCAGTGAAATTTTGTGTGTTTTGTCGGCTTTTGTTGCATTCCCTTTAACTCCCTTACAACTGAAGACAAACCAAAATATTTTTTTTGAAAATGTTGTAAAAATTCTGTTCTTTCATTTGGTCTTTACCGTTTGTCTCTAAGAGGTATATTTAAAAAATCATCGTCATCAAAAGAGGGAGGGAAAACCACCCTAAAAAAGGGTACAGGGACGAGACTGCCCCCTTAATCCATATATTTTATTTAAAATTTGTTAATAGGATGTTTTGTTAGCTAAAATAACCAACAATATCGTTAGTTGATCCTAGATACATCCAAAACACGCTGACAAGGGAACGTTTTTAGGTCATACACTCCGATTTCGACCAAACTTCGGGAAATCGTTCGTTGTTAGACTAGATTAAGATGGGCCATCAAAGTTGGTGCAACAATACATATCTAGAGGGTCAAATGGGGCTTCAAAATTGAGTTTTTTACACTTGTTTTTCTGCTTTTTGGGCCTTAAAGGGCGAGTTTTGGAGTGGACTCTCCGTGTCAAGATTTACATCATTTCCGATGTGTTTTAGGTCGCTGATGCCGAAAATCACCATTATTTGAACGTCCGATCAAGTTTTCGACCAATTCCGACCAAGTTCCGAACAAATTTGGGCCTTTTTCGACGTAAAATTTGCAGAGAGCAGCTCCAGCCAAAAAAAAACTTGGCCGGGGACCCCCTCAGATCTGGCTCCCTCCTGGTTTTTTTGGTTCCTCTAGTGAATACGAATTGCCGAAACACACATTGGGCCGGATCCGACACCGATTGGCTTTTTGGTAGAGGTCAAAAACCCCGAAAAATGGCTGTTTTTGAGGGTTTGGGGCTTTTGGGGATCCCGGAACCTGCTAGCCAAAAAATCTACCAAAGTGTCGTTTCCGAAAGAAAAAAGTGCGCTCTTTCGAATGCCGGGTCGCGCGAGGCTCTACGGCGTCGGGTTTGGACGCTACGGGCTCTCAAAGTTGCTCAATTTCACTATTTTTAACGAAGATTTGACCGTATGAGGCCTTTTGGAAGCAGGCCATCGGCGATTTCGCTCCTCTTTGACTTAAATTGTGCCTATCCATAGGTAAACACCCCCACAAAATTTCAGCCATCTCAGGCAATTATTAGAGAAACTGTGAACAATTGAAGTGTTGGGTCATTTTGCCACTGACCTTCGGTGGTTTTGGGTCCAGAAAAAATAGTTTTGTTCTAATCACAGCTAGAGAAAGACAAGTCTGTCATCGAAAAAATGTTTTGAGGTTTCAAGACGTTTCAAGAGGTGCTGATCAAACAGAGATAGTTGAAAAAAATATTTTTTCTGGACCCAAAACCACCGAAGTTCAGTGGTAAAATGACCCACAACTTCAATGGTTTACAGTTCCTCTAATAATTGCCTGAGACGGCTGAAATTTTGTAAGGGTGATAACCTGTGGGTAAGGCACCATTTAAGCCAAAGAGGAGCGAAATCGCCGATGGTCTGCTTCAAACAGCCCTCGAACGGTCAAATCTTCGTTAAAAATAGTGAAATTGAGCAACTTTGAGAGCCCGTAGCGTCCAAACCCGACGTCGTAGAGCCTCGCGCGACCCGGCATTCGAAAGAGCGCACTTTTTTCTTTCGGAAACGACACTTTGGTAGATTTTTTGGCTAGCAGGTTCCGGGATCCCCAAAAGCCCCAAACCCTCAAAAACAGCCATTTTTCGGGGTTTTTGACCTCTACCAAAAAGCCAATCGGTGTCGGATCCGGCCCAATGTGTGTTTCGGCAATTCGTATTCACTAGAGGAACCAAAAAAACCAGGAGGGAGCCAGATCTGAGGGGGTCCCCGGCCAAGTTTTTTTTTGGCTGGAGCTGCTCTCTGCAAATTTTACGTCGAAAAAGGCCCAAATTTGTTCGGAACTTGGTCGGAATTGGTCGAAAACTTGATCGGACGTTCAAATAATGGTGATTTTCGGCATCAGCGACCTAAAACACATCGGAAATGATGTAAATCTTGACACGGAGAGTCCACTCCAAAACTCGCCCTTTAAGGCCCAAAAAGCAGAAAAACAAGTGTAAAAAACTCAATTTTGAAGCCCCATTTGACCCTCTAGATATGTATTGTTGCACCAACTTTGATGGCCCATCTTAATCTAGTCTAACAACGAACGATTTCCCGAAGTTTGGTCGAAATCGGAGTGTATGACCTAAAAACGTTCCCTTGTAAGCTCCATTCTAGCGTTCGGAAGCCAAGATCGCTCGAAAAAGTGGTCATGCGCCCTGCAAGCTGTCTGCCTGGACCTCCCGTAAGGCGCCATGCAATTTTTGAGAGGAATTAAAATTTTCCGAAGGGAACTTTTTAGTGCGTTTCCGAGCAAATTCTTTCATTTGGGCCCTAACTATCAAACAATCGCATAGGCCTCGCGTGAACAAAGTGTGCAGTATAAAGGACTATTTGTTGACAACCGGTTCATGACGCGGGGGCGTGCGGCGCGTGGTAAACTCGTGCGGTGCGTCGGCTTCGCTATCACCTAGCCGAACATGAAGGCGGGCTCCAAACTGCCGCGTGCTCACGACTTCGTGAGACAAAACGTGCCAAGTGACTGCTTGAATGTAATCACGACCGCTGCCGCTGCAATAAATTGCAGAGCTTCGCTTTGTGAGGCCAGTTGTCGTTGCGACACATCCCTCTACGATGAAATTGCGCTTTGGTATTCTGTTTGCTGTGCTGGCAGCAATCTGCATGGCTGTCGTAAGTGTTTTTCTCTTTAAACCAGTGTACAGGGCATCCTCCAAATGAAGAGTTCATAACATGTAAACTCTGTACTTGATCATATATACTCCAAATGGAGTGTGCATACTACATAGACAGCAGGAACTGCCTATGTCTTTACCAGCTGTGTACGTGCCGTTTACTCCATTTATATATGAATAAGCGTGTACTCTCCATTTTGAGAAACCATGAGCGTTTACACTCTATTTGTAGTGTGTGCTCTATTTGAAGTATAGCATCTCTGTTGCTACTGGAAATCTTTCTTTCTTCAAATCGAGTGCCAGTATCAATTTTCATTGTAAATTTTAAGTATTTCATAGTAAATAGTAAAATTTGAAGGGTGGAGAGCAATACCTGGCTCCAAATCCAGTCGAAGAAGAACTTTGTGCTATTTACAGGCGTATCTTGAAAAATTGTCCTACGCAAAGTATATTAACGTAAACTGATGCTCTGGGCATTTTTCACTTCTTTGGTTCATACTTGATGAACTGTGTCATTAGTAAGATACTGGGACCATTACAAAATCAAAAGCTGTGTTTTCAAGACAGCATGTCTCTAAAATTCCAAGAAAATGGTAAAAATCCTGATATTTTAGTGTCTTTTTTTCTGAAAAGCAACGCTACAGTAAATTTGTTAGGTCCCACGTCTTGGTGATGCCACGCTGAGCCAAAGAAGTGAATAATGTCTGGAACATCAGTTAACGTTGAAATACTTTGCGTAGGAGAATTTTTTAAACTATTGCTAAAATAGGCTGAAAATACCTCTTCGACTAGATTTGGAGCAAGGTATTGTGCTCTAAATTTTATGGTTCACTGATAACAATGTGATACTACACATCTGCAACAAATGTTTACACTGGGGCTTAATTTGAAAAATGCAATATTTTGAGTAGAACCTCCCATTAAGAGCTCAGCGCAAGCGTAGCCGATCCAGGCAGATTTGGGCCAGTTGGAGCATCGCCCGTTGCTTTAAACGCCAGACAACAGGTTTTCAAAATGGCCTCGTTCGAATAATTAATTCAAGGAAGAAGGTGGGAGACATTTATTCTACTGGAAGTCGTTCTCACAAGGGCGGCCGCTCGCGGGAAATGTGATGTTGGTGATTATTGTGCGGACTTTTTACACGGCCTTCTCGCAGATTATTTTAAACGACACGCTCCCAGCCAAGGGGAAATTACATTGAATTTTGGTGTACAATTCCACTGAATAACAGTCGAGTTTTGATGAACTTCTGTCAACTTTCGATGAATTTCAGTCGAATTTTGGTCAAAATTCGATGAATTTTAATGAATTTTAGCTACAGCAATTACTACTCTGATCACTCCGTGCCCCCCCCCCCTTCCCCGCTTCCAAATTACGCCTGCCAAGCAGGGATGACACCCAAACCGAAACGATACCCGAGCCGTTACGACAACAGTTTGCACTTATGACTAAAACTCAAAACGTACAGCACCTGGAAGCAAGGGAAGAGCTTTTCCTTGCTGTACAAGGCATACCGGATATTTGTTCCCATATGGTCCAAGTCCAAATTCCGCTTCCCTGAGTTTTGTTGATTTAGGCCCCCAAAACAACAAAACTCAGGGAAGCGGAATTTGGACTTGGCCTATATAGGAACAAAATTCCGGTACGCCTTGATAAACAAGGAATAGCTCTTCCCTTAGTTCCAGGTGCAACACTTTTTGAGTTTTAATCATTAGTGCAAACTGTTGTCGTAACAACCCTGGTATTCGGTTTGGGCATCATCCCTGCTGCAAGGCAGCGGAATAGCCACTTGTGGAACGCTTTGCTTTCGTAGGCTACTTTCGTCAGTGGAAAAACTGAAAATCGAATTTGGTTTCTCGACGCTGCAACAGTGGTTGGACTCTACCAAGTGCCTCTCCTTTGCAGGTCGAGTGCTCAACACCCAGTCCATTCAAGCAGTACCCGGGAGGACCCAAGAAGCCGCCCGTTCGCGTTAACATTCGTGGTGGTAATCCTGGCTAAAACACCTGCTGTGGAGCCCAGCCTACATTGCAAGGATATGGGGACACCGCTCCTGAACTAGTTACCTTTCCGAAGTCAATAAAACGCTGAGAGACTCCTTCTAATTTTCCTGCATCTGTCAATAAGGACGATTCTGCCACCCTGTTTTTAAATATAGGAAAACGAAACAATCTTCCCACGACAAGTTGTTTTTAAACAACTTGCAAGGAGGAAATCACTTGCGTAATAATCGGGTCACCGATGCCTTGTATAACGCGTATATTAATAGCGTTAAAGCCAATATTCTCACAATTTCCTGTTGTATGGGTCTGATTTGACCTTAATTCTCGATATTGGCAAACGAGACATCTTTCAGGGAAGGTGGGGTACATGCCGTTTAATGGCGTGACACTTCATTCACGCCCCCCGCAGCGGCACGAAGTCACGCCGATAGATCCCGTGTAAAAACGAATTGTTCCGGAATCTTGCCGCCAGCCGTCCGAAAGAGCCCCCGCCACCTCGGGCTGTCCCCAGAAGCGTCCGAATGCCTTCGGACGATTCCGTGGTTAGCCCGCGAAGGGGCCGCTGTTCGGACGGGCCAGACCGATATGTGTCCGGGACTCCCTGGAAAGTCCGGGTCGGTCCGCCGGGAGTCCGGGGCAGCGGACTTACCCGGAATACGTCCGAGGAAAGTCTCCCCTCCGGACTGTTTTCGGAACTCTGTACCGTTTCCCCCTCGCTTTGGGACTTAGACAAATGTTCCTTTAGCGGAGCTGCAGTTGAGGTGTGTCGAAGTGATTCCGCAATGTTCAATCTCAAACATTCGCCTTTCGTAAGGAAATTTAGAATTAAAAATTTATTGGAAATACAGCAATTTTTTGTCGTTACTGAGTATGTGCCGAAACAAATACCACAAAACGTGGTTTAAATTGCAAGAATGCATTCAGTCAATTAATTTAAATTGTTTCGTACAACCGGAGAAACATGAAACTTTAAATACAGGTATGCATAAGAAAACGTGATGGACGTAAAATATTTTAAATTCGAGGTCCCCTTGAGAAATCCCCACTCTTCTATCTTGAAAATCGCGCCTCCCAGCGCCCAGAGGAAGGAGCGGAGCGGAGAGCGCAGCGCAGAGTCAGTGAAGAGGCTCACCGGAGCCCCCAGTCCTCATCTGTCCGGTTAGCTCAGTTGGATCCGACGTCAGCACTGGTGTGCAAAGACAGAGAGGAAGGCGGGAAGCGAGGGTTCGAATACGGCTTGCCTCTGGCTTACCGCCGTCGGATTTTTTTCGGAACCGAGACTCGGACAGTCCGAAACCAGCCCGCATTTCGGTTTTCGGACACATCCGTAAAGTTGCCGATTTGGGAACATTCTGGAGCTTCGTCGGACCAGCCCGACGGACCTCTTTCGGGCAGGAACCCCGCTCGGACAGATCTCGGAGCAAATAATTTTTATAAGGGATTTTCAGTGTTCAGTTTCGAGCCCATATTAACCAAACAATTTGACCCAGGTGATTAAAAATTTGACACAGCATGCTCTTAACATGTTCGACCCGACAAACAATCACCTCATGAACCGTCCATGCAGGCGCGGATACATGGGGGAAGGGGGGGGGGTGTTTTGCCCCCCCCCCCCAAGAAGCTAAGGCATGCTGGAAAAAAAATCACGCATTTGCCCTGTCATTGACTAGTGGAACTAGACAAGAACTGAAAATTTTCTCAGCTCGCTTCGCTCGCAAACGATTCACTTTTACCAACCTGAATAACTCTGAGAACCGCAAATTTTCTCGGCTCGCAAACAAACGCTGACCACCCTCGAAAGTCGTAAGAACCGCAATTTTTTTCAGTGCTCACTTCGCTTAAACAAATAACGCGTTTATCACTCTAAAAAGTCCTAAGAGGTGCAAATTTTCTGAGCTCGTTTCGCTCTCAAACAAATAACGTTTGCCACCCTTTAAAGCCCTAAGAACCGCAAATTTTCTGAGCTCGCTTCGCTCGCACACGTTTAGTACCAAAAGATCCTTGGAACTGCAAATTTTCTGAGCTTGCTTCGCTCGCACACAATTTACATTTACCACTCCTTTAATACATTCAATCGTGTGTTAAAAATTGAAAAAAAGTTTCGCCAAGGCAAGCTTAGCCAAGCGGTCTTGCCGTGGACCGGCAGGGAAGGCCGGGCAGAGACACAGTGGTCGAATCGCCCCGAATTTCTGGTCAGAAGGGTATTTTTCAAAGTGTGGATTTTGATATGTTTCAACACTTTTCCGTGTAATAAACACCCCACGCATCGATAATCCACGTGGGTTTAGCCTCCAGTCTCATCGAGTTCGCGTACAAAGAATAGCAAACACAGAACTTTAACTGCAGCGTTTCTCATGGATGTATTTTGAAGGAAATTGACCATGGCCCGTACAACTCAAGAGTTAATTTAAGGTGCCTTAACTTTTCTTCAGTTACTGTAGCTTTTTCTCAATGAAATCCCACAGTGGGCATTGCTTTATAAGCCTTCCATACGTTGGAAAAGTCACGTTTTCAAAACATTTACAAGTTTAACTAAATTTTATAAAAAAACAGGAATTACTTTAGAACATGATAAAACACGGTCGTCCCTCTGGGTCAGGGACCTTCCCCCAAGTGTCCTCTAAACTCGCATTGAGTTTTTTGCCGTCCGTTTCCGCTTTCGAATCTTGCCCAAAATTCCTCGTCGTTGCAGTAGCTTTTCAGGCAAAATCGTTTTCAAAAGCTGGATTTTATTGAAAATAATTGGCTATGTCCAAAAAATATAAATTACCGTAGAAAGCTCTCAAAGGTAAATTAGCACCAAAGAAACTTTTTAAGGTTGCATGAAGGAAAGGTGATGGAGTAAGAATAAAATAACGGCAAAAATATGTAAATTTGAAAATAGCGCCTCCCAAAAAGACAGCGCCAAACCGCCGGAACCTAAACGCCGATGCTTTTCATTTGGCCGGTCTGTTGAGACTCGGTGCACTAGTCATGCCCACCGGATCCATGAAAGGCGGGCAGGAGCTGAATAGACTGTCGAGGCTTTTAAGCCTGTCGAAGGCCGTAAGTGAAACGGCATTTAGGCGGCAGCACTTCGGAAAGTCTATCCATGATACGGGCAAGATGTTTTCCATCAGGGACTTATTTACTTTGTGGCGAGTAGCTGAGGGCAAATTTTGAGAAGAAATTTTCCGCTTTCTCGGACCAGTTATGCCAGAGAAAGAAGTGCACTGAACCCTTTATTCATAATGTTACCCCTTTTTTGGGCGTTTACCGCTCCTAGACATGAAAACTTGAATCGACTATGCCGATTCGGATTTCGCGACCCAAAAAGTAAAGGCGGGTATAAAAACGCACTAAGTACACATAACACAAAATTTTACCCCCTTTTTGAAAATTGACCCCGAAACCTGGACGTGCAAATTTGAAAAAAAGCTACATCAGATTCGGAGTCGGACACGCAAACAACGAACATGCAGTGAAAAATCTGCGCTGAACACTGGTTTTAACAACTTTACCCTCCTTTTGGGGGCCTTTAACCGCCCTTTGGAAACAAAAAATTTTGAGCTTGCTTCTACAAAATCAAATTTAGCGACCCAAAAAACGTGTTTTAAAAAAAGAAAGAACGGTTCCCCTAAGATAAACTTTTGCAAACTTTGCCGTGGAAACTGAGGGATTCGACACGTGAGAGAGGGGGCAATTGTCATTTCGAAGGAGTTTCCGAGGGGGTCAGGTGGCTGTCGTGATGGCCTGCGTAACAGTGGTTCTCGCGGCTGTCTTCGCGAGGGTGGTAGGACTCCACGGAAACTTCCGCGAAGTCGATGGCACTCCTGCGAGTACTGCGAGTCTCTTGACAAACCCCTCGTGAGATCCCGCCACTAGGGCTGGGCGGTTACTGGATTCATTAACCGGTTTACGGTTAATGAAATTAACCGTTTTTTCACCGGTTATCGGTTATTTTTTTTTAACCGGTTATTTGGAACTAACCGGTTAATTTGGAATAACCGGTTATTTTGAAATAACCGGTTATTCCCAAATAACCGGTTATTCCCCAATAACCGGTTAAATTTTTGTTAAAATTTAAAGGAAAATAAAATACGTTTGGAAAACAGTGTAGTTTAATAATCTTACGACGGCTTAGGAACAAAATCTTTGTTAGCGGATAAGAAAATAAGCTGTTCTGCATGTTCGCCAGTAAGGCAGGTCCTCAAATAATTAATTACAAGCCCAGCAACGCTAAAAAGCCGCTCGGATTCAGTTGATGTTGCCGGAACAGCCAAGCTTTGCCAGGATGGGAAAGTTGACCTGATGGACTTTCCACCATTCTAATATGTCCTCGTCCTTTCCCAAGGACAGCAACTCATAGCGGTCCATTTCGCGCTTCAGTAGTTCTCGTTGCGACGGAGCGTCCTGTTCTTGTTCAGTGGCGTTGTTCGAGTCTGCAAATTTGGCAAACAAAGAAGCCATGCTCTTCTGTTTCTTTGGGGGTGGCTGTCTGGGCTGCGCTCTACTTGAGTTCCCTCGGTCTTCTCCATCTGTAACAAACAGACTCACGCTGCTCGCTGGGGGCTCCGCCCCCAGACCCCCGCATGTGTGGGGCGCGTGCCGAAGTATTTTCAGTCAGTCCGTGGTGACCAAAGGCAAATTTTCTAAGAAAGTAAATGTGCTGCTTCTTTGAAAGGTCTATTTAACAGCTTTTGACCATATAATTAAGCTACTTTTACTGCCCAAATAGATAGCTTGTGTTGCATTGGCTACTGTGGCAGTCAATGGGTGCATACAAGGTCCGGAAAATATTGAAGACTGCTTTGACAAGGATAGAGGTGAATGGAAAAAACCGCAAGTCTCTACGACCACTCCTTGACCCCAAACATTTCTATGAGTGAGTCAGTGAGTGAGTCGCAGTCAGTCAGTCGGATTGGGGATATATAGATTCTTGATGATGATGATTTACCCAAAGCCGGTGGCGGGGACCCGACTGCTGCAGTTTCGGAAATTCTCGACCAGACCTACCGATGGGGCGAATAAAAATTTTTAGTCATTCGGTCCCCTTTTTAGAAGATTGAGTAGGTTTGCTCGGAAACGGTGAGAAATTTTCAACTTTTGGGATATTTCCCTAT